GCTGATACCCTGTGCTGTTCTACTATATAGCCTTTATGCTAAGCTAAGCTGATCAGCTGGTGGCTGCAGCTTGAGATTTATTGTACACACAGGACAATGGTATTGATCTTCGATTCCTCTCAGCAAGAACTCAGATAAGTGCATTTCCCGTAATATCGAACTAATACGTTTATTCTCAGCCTTTTCACCTCTGTTCTCTTTCAGGTGGATAAACCAGTGTCTCGCACCAAACCAAAAAAGGCACCAACAACAACAACAGGGAAGATGGTGAAAAAAGCTAAAGAGAAGCAGATTTCTAGTTCCCAGTCTGCCAAGAAGAAGCCTTCTTTGGGCGCCTCAGAACCCAAACCGGAAGGAGTCGTCACAAAGAAGAGCAAAGAGATCAGCAACAGACTGGCCGAAGCGAAACAGTGAAGGCGGTTCATCTCTGCGCGATCAAAGGCTTTGTGATGAATTAGGCAAATCTCTTCCCTTTGGTTTATTTCCGTACCTGTTGTTCCTGCCGTCCCGTCATATATTGTTCACCTTTAAATGGGCACTGAGTTTGAGCTTTTAGAATAATGCAAATAATTTCACTGTAAACTATGCGTGTGAGTATGTGAACGCGTGGAAGTGTGTGATTCCTTGTGTTTTTTGGTGCACAGAACCGCTTTATATTATTGAGCACATGATTTGCACATTGTTTATATGAGTTCTATTTGACATCAAACTTTCAAAAGGAGCCATCGGTACACATGTAGTATGTGTATGAAAGGGCATTTTTACCTTTTGTCTGAGTGGGTGATAACTGAGATCAATGTTAAAATGATTGTAAAACATGTCAAGGAGAGGCCTTTTCTCTGAGACTGGATCACATGAAAGGTTTTGTGAAAGGACAAAATCTGTTTTACGGTTGCGTTTCCTAATTACAGTGCCTCCGCTGTATGGTCCTGGTTTTCATTTCATTGTTCTGGATGATATCTGGTTTCATCAGTTTGGTTGCTAAGAAACCAAATTAACTGTAATATAATTGCTACGGCTTGCATGCAAGACCCCTGTTTTTTGGTTGAGGTAGCAACATTTTTAGCAGACTATATGTCACGGTCACATTCTAGCTTGTAAATTGAGCCATTTAAAGATAAATGTATAGAGGGGGGGAAGACCTTTTCAAATGTAATGCATGTGTAGAAATAGATTCTGATCCCACCAAAAGGTACATACAGTAAGTAAAATCATAGTCTAGTGGCTGTTAAAGCTGTAAAATAAACACACCAGCAATATGGTTTCACCCACAAACATATGGAGATCCTTTGATTTAAAAAAAAATGAATACTGCAGTTTCTATCATGACTCAGTATTTTGTGGCACCACCCTCTCCTCTGATCTGTGACGCTCTAGTTGTGCTAAATGATAAAAAATGCATATAGGCCTAAAAAAAAAAGAAAAAAGGATCATATTTACTCAACAATTCTCACTCTGAATGGGGCTGATCTCTCCAGGTGTTGGAAGGACAAAGGAATGGGCCAGGACTTAAAGTTCAGCTCTTTACAATGCTGCTGTCTTGAAAAAAGAAAAAGAAAAAAAAAAAAGCGCAAATCACATGTGTTCATCGTGAGCGTGACATGAACTGAAATTGTCATCACAGCCCAGCCTTTCCCTTCCTCTCTGGTCGTAAACACGCTCGTCTACCGTTAAACCCCTCAGCGGCTCGAGTGGCTGCAGCGTGTGAGGGCAAAGTCGAACCACCACGAGTCTGTTTCCAGTTTCAGCTTCTCCGTGTGACTGATTGAACGATTGAGTGGGAGAGGTCTTTTTTATTTTTTTTATTTGTATTTCTTTCTGTGTGTGTGTGTGACCTCTTCAGCCTGCTGCCTGCTAACATCAAGTCTGACCCAACCACTAGAAGTGCTGCGATGCACTCCAACACCCTGGTGCTATTATCTCTCATCGTATATGCTGTCTGGTTTGGACGGCGTGTGGCATCCAAACCAGAGTGAAGTGATGATATGACGATGTCATACCGCTGCAGATTTGTTGTGATATTGTGCTTGTATTCTCAGCTTGCTCTGAATGAACTCTGATTAAAATGATGATACAGAATCTACAGCGTTCTTGCATCTTTTGTATCACAAATGAGTATTTTTTTAAATGTAAATATGTGAAGTGACAACCAAACTCTCACAAAATATCCTTTTGAGCTACAAGAAGAAATATTGTTAAATGAGAATTGCCTTTTCTAAAAAGTGAGAATTATATTTTTATTTTCATTCTTTTGTTTAAACCCCCAAAAATCAGAAAAATCAACTATGGTTTCAAAAGGAACTCATTCACGCAATATAGAAACATGAACGAAATCTGAAAATGCAAACCACACACTGTGAATGAATTAAACAATGTGTTGATATGCCTAAAAATAATAAAAGTATTAAAGAAGAAGGTTCACAGGTGTCTATAAACAACTTCTAGAAATTTGCTTCTAAGCAAATTTGTACTAAAATACGCTGATCAAGAACATTAAATCACAATTTATTAACCTTCATCATCACTTTTTTGTTCTCAGAGGAAAAATCTTCTTTTTTCTGGCTAAGATTTCTGTTTAATTCATCTTCATTCGTCCTGCGAATGCTTCAGTCCTGCTAATATTTCCAACAACTTAAAGGCTATTTCTAATATAACACACCATCTGTGTATTGTTCCATCTGTTTTTCATGTCAGTTTAAATAACAGAAGCAAAACTGTCTCCTCTGAAAACAAAAGATTTGTCTTTATTGAAACTGAGGGAAGATGCGTGATGGAAACAATAGTTTGTCATTCTTTCGTGCTTTTAAATGCTGGTGGTCACTTTTCCTGTGAATCAGTCATCCCAACATAAATCTGCATGAATAATTCAGTCGTTATGGGCCCTTGTGTTTGCAGAGCAGCATGAAATATTGAATAAGATATCAGCAGTGGCACTGGAGCTGCCGAAGCTGTGCCCACACTCCGGAAGACTTGTCTGGCTGGTTATGGTTATCACCTTATTTTGTGTTGAAAGGGCAGAATTGAGATTTCATGTGCTTCTTTCACTGTGTAGGAAATATATTGCTTAACTTTAGATTCCATTGTTGTCATGTTGAAGCAACAACTGCCAGTTCGTGTCATAAACAAATAAGTTATTGTAATTAAAAAATAAAAATAAAAAATGTCCCTCAGGTTTAATTATGCATATAAATGTATGTATAGATTTAAAGTTCAGCAAATAAACAGTTGCACAGGAGAGACAACAGTTTTACACCATTCCTGGACACACAATTGCATTTTGGATAAAACGTGCACCACAACACCAACAGCGATTGTGAACGACAGAATTATCGACATCAGCGTACAATATTGCGTGGCTTTATTTGTGTTGTATTGACTTCACATTAGGAAACATGCACGCTCATGATAATATTGTATTTCTTGGACAGGCAAGACGCTGCCCAGCGATGGTGCTGATTGTCAGCAAATCATGACCTCTAGTGGAGGGGATCAGTTGCACTAAATCTCACAGCATCATGTGAATCTGCATTGAAAAGTAAAGCGGCTGCAGGATAAGCAAAGTAGCTCAGGTTTCCTTCTGCTGCTCAACCTCCAGTTTTTATTGGTGTCCAAGGTGTTCTCGGCCTGGATGGGATATTTAATTCCGGCAGGCATCAATTATCTCTCTTCCTGCTTGGTCCCAGACTGTTGATGTTATCTGAGGCCTTTTAACACAAGATGGCAATTGTTAAAGTCCAACATGGTTTTGTTCCCTAGGTCATAATTAGCAGCTACACAGTGTCTGAAATGCTCAGCTAAGTTATTTTGTCATCAAAGATTGATGCATAGACGATGTTTCCAAGATTAAAAATAAATATTACAAATTACAAAAAAACCCCATCCAAACAGTTCATGGTTCCAGCTTCTAATAACTGAGGATTAGCTTAGATTTTTATGTTTCTTAAATTACAGTAAATTTGAGTTTTAGCTTTGGGACAGGAAAAAATAAATAAAAAATGTGGAGGTGTTCTCATTGGCTCCAGGCGTTATCCAAAAATCTGCTGACAAAAATAAAAAATACTCAGCACATCACGTCAGTCTTGGCAACACTATACTGCCTTCCTGTGTCTTATAGAATTGATTTGTAGAGCTACTTCCATACAAAGCTCTACACAGCTTAAGACTGGCCTACGTTACAAGTTCACTGTCACAAACCTTTAGATTTGTGTATGATGACAATAAAAGCATTCTATTCTATCTACTACTGGAGGTACAGTTTCTCATAGCAATGATAAGAAGCTGAGGAATGGCTTACCCAAAGAAATCAGAGACACTTACAAACACATTCTTCTAACACCATCTACTACAATACATCAGGTGCCAATTTATTTATACCAGCATTTAATGCTATTTATATGTACTGCTTTTACCTACAAAATGAATGTATTTTTTATTGATTTTTTTGTGTGTGGTCCTTTTAAATGATTTTTAAATGAAGGTCAAAGCACTTTGAATTGCATGTGTTCAATTAAAAGGTGCTATAAACTAAATTATTATTATTATTATTATTATTATTATTATTA